TATATATATATATATATATATATATATATATATCTATATATTCCTGTGTCTATTACTTGTACCTGATGATGACAAAAACCTTATGATGTCGTAACGATCTACATTTGTAATATAGTTTTCTACGCTATCCATTCAGGCCGTTTCCAAACTTTATGGAGTAATATTATATTTCTCCATGTAAGCTGTCATAGAATTCGATTGAACATAGAGTAAAGTTTGACCCCCCTCCCCCTATCAAATTTAATTTCTTAACATTACGTGATTTTGAAGACTATGTTATGCTGAAGATTAAAGTTTTATTAGTATATAATAGTAAAATGAATAGATAATATCATAGTGTTGTTCAAGTTAATGTTTTACAGATCTATTCTGTTCCATTCTCTCGGTCCCTTTAGTCGACCGTACATCCAACGTATCCGACTCTACTGCTGGTACTTAAGTAAATAGTTCATGTAATAATGGTTAAGACATAGTTCGTTCTCTGTCATCCCAGCTTTGCTATATAAAGAAACAGCCTAATTCGAAAGCCACCATTTTCTTATGACATTCCAACACTACTCAGATATCTAGTTAAACTGAAAACTTACATTAGAAGGGATTGTTAAAGTGTCCTTCTTTTCTGTCTAAATCCTTTAGTTAAATATTAAAATAGCTAATAGAATAACAAACAATCATATAAAAATTCCCTACAGTACCTTACTGTTCCTGCTGGCTCAACAGTAAGTTTGAGGGCTTATATCACTAAAAATTGGGTTTCGATACCTGGGCAGAGCACAAATAGCGCATTGTGTAGCTTTATGACTAACAGCAAACAAATAATTACGGTACTAATCCTTTACATAATATGATTGAAATAAAGTCAGAATAAAAATAAATTATTTTGTTACGAACTACTTCATTAAAATATTCTTCAGCATTTTAATAAATCATTTCTATATACAATTAAAAAGAGTTTAAATAACAATAATTTCCTATTAAGCAAATTACGTCGTTAAAATATATGGCTACCACTAATCATCTATATCTTTTAACTTTCCTGTAAACTTCATGAGAAATATGTTTCTTTTATTTGTTAGAGTAAGAATTCTATTCCAGATATTTCTTATAATGTCGTTCATTTTCTTTACATTTAGTGAAAAATAATTTCTGACTGTGTAATAAGAACCAAGATGTTTTATAATGTAGTTTTAACTTATAAGTTCTAAAATGCGATTGTGCAATTAACAGTTCACTGGGTCAACATTAATTGTGATAGTTTTGTATGTAACTTTATCAACTGTCTATGTTTTACTTTTGCATTTTAACAGATCAATAATATAAACAAAGGGAAAACAGTTAATTTGTTTGTTTGTTTTAAGTTAAGCACAAAGCTACACAATGAGCTATCTGTGCTCTGCCCACCACGGGTATCGAAACCTGGATTCTAGCGTTGTGGTCCGCAGACATACCGCTGTGCCACTGGGGGGCAAAACAGTTAATAAGCAAACCAAACAACATAAGAAGATGAACAGTTCACATAAAATACATTAATTATATAACAAGTTATATAACATATATATATATATATATATGTGTAATGCTAATTGTACACAATCGCGGCTAGTACTTAACACTAACAGAAACCGAACTAAGAAACTATTCAGTTGACCAACACAGAACTGACAAAAAAGAAGTTTCCTGATAGATGGGCCGTGGAAAAGTTCCAAATCATATGACTGAGAACAGAAATATTTTCTCACCCCTGACCTTAATATGTGTCCTTTAAAGTTGCCCCCTGGTGATGATCTTAGGAGTTTGAGAGTATGTGAGCTAATTTAAGGTTTAGTCTCGAACGGTGACTGCCTTCTGAAACAGTTTCTTTCACAAACGTCAGTCCCTTCTCTCAGTTTCAACAAGAGTGTTGAACATCAAGTAAAGTGAATCTATTAGGTATGTTCTTTTCTTCCATATTTGTAGTGCACACTAGAAGGTTTTAAGCATTTTGATAGAGAAAAACGACCTTTAGACTCCAGATGACAAATAGTTCTTTTAGAATTATCTGTAGTTTAAAGATCGTTTTTCTCTAACCTTTTGTTCAATAGCATTTCGATCTTATTTTTTCCCCAAATATTTCAGGAACATTCCACGGATGTAAATAAATTTTATACAACAAAAAGAAAAATGATATATTTTAAAACCTGAACTAATAACGATTATTCTCTCGATAACTCCACAAAAGGCAGTTATTTGTATTTTCTGGAAAATCTTTACACTTATTCTGATGGATTTAGCATAAAAACCGAATGTTAAAATTCATAATTCTTCTTCCTTCGCTTAATGTAAGATAGAAATTTATTTTTTAATAATTCAAAATCGATGAAAACATGCGCCAACGCATGAATTATGTGTTTGATTAGTTAAGTATCCTTCGAACACACAAAAATAGTTTAAACTAACTAGATGAGACTTCCAAGAGGTTTTTTTTAAATATAAGTTTAAATATTTTATAAACTATTCTTATACAGTTTACGTGTGAATTAAAGGGTTTAACAATTAGGAGCATGTAGTAGCTTCTTTATGTCTTTGATACCTCTCACAATTTTCAATCACGTGTCAAGTCTATATTTGAAACCTGATCACCAATTGATTGATGCATTTATTTAAATATTTTATACTTTTAGCATCTCTTAGAACTCACTGAACAAAGTTTCATTTCGATATATTTTCAATTACAGTTGAAATGGGTTAAAGAAACGGTAATGAGACAACAACTGACGTAGTTTTTGAAAAGTGTTAATGAAACTGTAAAGAGATAACAATTAACGTAGTTTTTGAAATATGTTAATGAAACGGTAATGATACAACAACTGACGTAGTTTTTGAAATGGGTTAATGAAACGGCGATGATACAACAATTGACGTAGTTCTTGAAAAATGTTAATGAAACGGTAATGATACAACAATTGACGTAGTTCTTGAAAAGTGTTAATGAAACGGTAATGAGACAACAACTGACGTAGTTTTGAAAAGTGTTAATGAAACTGTAAAGAGATAACAATTAACGTAGTTTTTGAAATATGTTAATGAAACGGTAATGATACAATAACTGACGTAGTTTTTCAAATGGGTTAATGAAACGGCGATGATACAACAATTGACGTAGTTCTTGAAAAATGTTATTGAAACGGTAATGATACAACAATTGACGTAGTTCTTGAAAAGTGTTAATGAAACGGTAATGAGACAACAATTGACGTAGTTTAGGAAATGTGTTGATGAAACAGTAATGACACAACAGTTAAGTAATATTTTATTTGTGATTTAGGCAAATCGTCATGATCAATAGTGAAGTATTTCTTGAAATATATTAATAAAATAGTAAAAAATAAATGTTTTGGTAGTTTATGTTTCCTTTTCCATTTTATATAAAAGGAATCTTTGGACAAAACTTTGAGAGACTTAACGATGCATTAGAGAAGTCTTCATTTGTAGGCTTCGTGATTTCTAATTGTACACCACATGTTACATTCTGATAAGTTAATACAGATAACTAACAGAAAATTTTGTTGATACGAAAAAAGCTCATTTTTAGAAACATTTATTCTCGTCCATTTCTTACATTCTTTGATACTTATATTACTTACGAGATCTAAGTTTACGAATTTTGTGCATAGTATGGGCTAGTACAGTACATACACAAGTCCTATTTGAGCGTTAGAAGTGACAGCAAAAGCATCGTGTTAGTAACCTGCAGAAGAAACAAGCTATTGAAACAGACCAAGAAATATGACTTCATGTAAAAACAAGGGAAGAACCAATAATAACTCTCATTTATAAGAAGTTTAGTTTGAAGTTAAGCACAAAGCTACACAATGGGCTATCGGTGCTTTGCCCACCACGGGTATCGAAACCTCGGTTTCTAGTGATGTAAGTCCGCAGACATACTGCTGTGCCACAAGGAGGGCATTTATAAGAAGGCAAAAAAATCTAAACATTTTTAAACATTGAAACTATATAGAAATTTCGTCACTGATAAATAAGTTTATTTGTTTGTTGCGAATATTCGCACAAATATGAGGAGAGATTAAGATCTATGAAATTGTTTTCTCTTTTAAAAAACAAGAGTTAGAGAGGATCTGATTAAAGTGTTTAAGATTATAAAGGGAAATGATAGTGTTGACCCATCATCTTTTTTTCATGCTTAATGACGAGAATAGTAGGACTAGAAAACACAAATATAAATTTTGGCAAGGTAGGACTCATCTTAAGCTAAGATAATTTAAGTGAGCTTAAGAGAAAGCTTGATAAGAATATGAATGATAAGGGCTGGCTTTAAGATTTTATTTTATTTTTCAATCTATTTATTTTATTGTTTGTTTGTAATTAAGCCCAAAGCTACACAATAGACTATCTGTGCTCTGCCCACCACGGGTATCGAAACCCGGTTTCTAGCGTTGTAAGTCCACAGATATACCGCTGTTCCACTGTGGGCTATTTATTTGATAGTTTTAGTTTAGTTTAGAGGATGCTTTATTTAAAAAAAGACCATTAACGTTAGTGTAACAACTAGCTAACAACCTATGTAACAACTAGCTAACAACCTATGTAACAACTAGCTAACAACCTATGTAACAACTAGCTAACAACCTATGTAACAACTATCTAACAATCTATGTAACAACTATCTAACAACCTATGTAACAACTAGCTAACAACTTATGTAACAACTACCTAATAATCTATGTAACAACTACCTAAAAATCTACGTAACAATCTATGTAATAACTATCTAACAACCTATGTAACAAATATCTAACAATCTATGTAACAACTAGCTAACAACCTATGTAACAACTACCTAACAACCTATGTAACAACTACATAACAATCTATGTAACAACTACCTAACAACCTATGTAACAACTACCTAACAATCTATGTAACAACTATCTAACAATCTATGTAACAATTATCTCAGACCAACGTATCATTTGAAACAATCAGACACTAGTAAACAAAAGCTAAAATTAGTATACTATATTTAACACAAAAGTTCATAAATCTTGTAAAAAGTTCAAGATAACTGAGTGGATAACTGACTCAGTTAATATATGTGCAAAATACCGTCAATATACAAGTTAGTGTATGTATATACTAACTACACCCACGATACATATTAGTGAATGTGTATACGCTAAATATACCTGCTTTACAAATCACTGTATAAATGCTAAATATTTTACTGCATACCTTAGTACAGGTATATACAAAATAAACATCTCTGCCCCTCAATATATATATATATATATATATATATATATATAATACATATAAATGCTGAACTCACACATGCATATAGTCAATATGCACCATTGTATAACTATATATATGTATATGAATATATTAAATATACACATTTTGAAAACTCACCATGTGCATTATAATAATAAACACCATAGCAGAACTGCTAAGTATTCACAAATGAAGAATTAAGTATAAGTCTGTTATACTAAATCCACACGTGTGTAGAATTCAATATATGTGCCTGCACTACATCCACACGTGTGTAGAATTCAGTATATGTGCCTGCACCATATCCACACGTGTGTAGAATTCATTATATGTGCCTGCACTATATCCACACGATTGAATAAATCAACACATGTATATTCTAAATGGAAAACTCTCTGTGTGTGTGTATTAAAAAACAACTGTAAAATTCAGTATACCTGTATATATCTATATACTAATTCCGCACAACATTGTAAGATTTTGTATAGGTGTATCTTGATAAATAACATTACCGAAATCATTGTATGCATATACTAAATTATAATTTAACAGAGCTCAGCGCATGTATAAACCAAATCATCACATCTCAGTACATGTATATACCAAAACACAACGTCAGAGAACTTGATATGAATCTGTTAACTACACACTATATGGGGTTACTATGTTGAAACATTAGATTCGAGCCGTGACGTAACTCTTTCCTGCGTGTTTAAAATAGAAATAATTTTGTTAATGTACAAATATTATTACGGATTATTAGAATAAAAACGTTCGTCTATAATTAATGGACATCGTTGTAAGATGGGTAGTATTTTACACGAGAAAAGTATTAGATAATATTTCACATTTTGCTGTTATTTCCTTGCTTTAAGGATAGATTTTTCTGACGAACATCTTGCAACATCCTGAAATTAAATCATACTTCTGTTCTCGCGTTTCCTGTAAAAATCTCAATCGGGGTTTGCACGAGACCTTGACCAGTGAAATTCGTCTTCTTATTGATTGTATCTATGAAAAACCAAGCATTATAAAGATAATGACCCACTTATAAGTTGTGGTGTATTTCTAAACCAAATTAGTTTTTGTTATCTCCTGCGACAAGCTTCTATTCAACACGAAGGGGAAGGAGGAACATAGTTGTAGGCCTAACTCAATATCCGCTCTCTTAGCGAAAAGACATCTTTCAAAGAACACATTAAATTACAAGTCATTAAGTCTTAATATAAAAGGTCAGGTTAGAAGAAGAGATACATGGTTATTGTGGATGAGGATGACTCACTTGTGATTATCACTGGACAGTGACCAAGAGTGCGTTTCAATAAGTGGGGGATTTTCCCCTATTGCCATATATCTACTTATTTAGATATATTTATAAAAGGTTTATTATAAAATACTCGGGATAAATTCATCAAATGCTCATATCACAACATTTTCTGAACTGAAATGAGTTGCGTAACGTTATTAAACATCAAACAACCACCTGATTAAACTAACTGTTGGCTCAACCTCTGTTGCTTTATTTCTGCCTTGGTATTTCATTCATCAACAACACTTGACTTCCTTAGTATTTCATTCATCAACAACAGCTGACTTCATTAGTATTTCATTCATCAACAACAGCTGACTTCCCTGGTATTTCATTCCTCAACAACACTTGACTTCCCTGGTATTTCATTCATCAACAACAACTGACTTCCCTAGTATTTCATTCATCAACAACAACTGACTTCCCTGGTACTTCATTCATCAACAACAACTGACTTCCCTGTACTTCATTCATCAACAACAACTGACTTCTCTAGTATTTCATTCATCAACAACAACTGACTTCCCTAGTATTTCATTCATCAACAACAACTGACTTCCCTAGTATTTCATTCATCAACAACAACTGACTTCTCTAGTATTTCATTCATCAACAACAACTGACTTCTCTAGTATTTCATTCATCAACAACAACTGACTTCTCTAGTATTTCATTCATCAACAACAACTGACTTCCCTGGTATTTCATTCATCAACAACAACTGACTTCCCTGGTATTTCATTCATCAACAACAACTGACTTCCCTGGTATTTCATTCATCAACAACACTTGACTTCCCTGGTATTTCATTCATCAACAACAACTGATTTCTCTGGTATTTCATTTTTCAGCAACACTTGGAAGAATACAAAAGTTAAAGCACTGTCTCTTAATTTATAGGTTTTGTTTCCGAACTTTAGAAGCTTCAGTTAATACTAAGTTATAAGAAGTTGGCTTGTAATAAACCTACCTATCCCAAAGGAGGTTTTTCTTCAATACCCATAGATCCTTTATTAACGATGGCAACCACCGCTTTTGAGTGATGATTCTTTCGTCTTCAACAGAGAGAAAATAAAATTATCAAAAAATTTAAAGTCTTTGAAATATTTTTTATGGTCGTTTAATCTTTCTGTTTAGCAATTTGAAAAATATTTCGCTGTTTTTAACAATTTACTTTTAGTAACTCTTAATTTTCATCGAAATTCTATACAAGTGTTGTTGTTTTTTTACATTCAATGTTCATTTTATTTCTTCTTACTAGCTTTACATGTTGAGATTGTGCTTCTTTTGCTGATTTTGTTACAACATATGATCGTCAAGCTCAGGTACAAGTCCCTTCGCAAAACGAAACGAAACAAGTAACATACGACAATGGAAATAAGCCAATATTTCTGAGTCGCTAATCTGGGATACAACAACGGAAGTAAGCCAATATTTCTGTGTTGCTAATTTGGACACAACAACGGAACGAAACCAACATTTCTATGTCGCTAATCTGGGCACACAACAACGGAAATGGATTCATATCCCTATGTTGTTAATCTGGGCATACAACACCGGAACTGAACCAATATTTCTATGTCGCTAATCTTGACATAAAACAACGGAAATGGATTCATATTCCTATGTTGTTAATCTGGGCATACAACACCGGAACTGAACCAATATTTCTATGTCGCTAATCTTGACATAAAACAACGGAAATGGATTCATATTCCTATGTTGTTAATCTGGGCATACAACAACGTGACGGAACCAATATTTCTATGTCGCTATTCTTGACATAAAACAACGGAAATGGACTCATACTCCTATGTTGTTAATCTGGGCATACAACAACGTGACTGGGCCAATATTTCTATGTTGTTAATCTTGACATAAAACAATGGAAATGGACTCATATTCCTATGATGTTAATCTGGGCACACAACAACGTGACTGGGCCAATATTTCTATGTTGTTAATCTTGACATAACAACGTGACTGGGCCAAT